CGGGACATGAAAGAGCGACCTTGAGGAATAATGCGCATGGCGAAATTTAGATGACCTAGCAGGGAGAGCAGTTGGCGTTTAGACACGACTGATGCAGAACAAAAGGACTGAGAGATCTCACGGATTCGAGACAGTTTATCTGCGGGCAGGGATGCCATCATGGCCACTGAGTCAAGCTCGATGCCGAGAAACTCGATTTTTGTAGCAGGGCCAATAGTTTTCTCTTCAGACAGGGGAACACCGAGGCGGGAAAAGAGCTCATTTAGCTTGGGAAGAGAAAGACTGGGAAGTTTAGAGGGAGGATCAATAAGAAGGAAGTCATCCAGGAGACGAAGAACGCATGGAAGATGGGTGACATTGAGGAGAATCCAGCATAGAGCTTCTGAGATTTTGTCAAAGAGACATGGACTACTCCTGCACCCGAACGTCAAACGGACAGCAAAATAGAAAAGAGATTTCCATTTAGCACCGAACAGGTGCCACTGGGAGGGATGAATAGGGATGATTTTGAACGCATCGGTGATGTCGGCTTTAGCTAGCCAGGCTCCTTTGCCGGTGCGTTTGATCAGAAGAATAGCGTGATCCACGGAAGCGTAATGAAGGGGAAAGGGGGAAGGCGGGATGAGGCTATTGATCGAGGAGTGATGACCGGTGTGGGGGGCGGATAAATCAGAATGAGCCTCTTTTTTCCAGAATATTTTCTGGTGGCTACTCCGAGAGGGCTAACTCGGAAGGGAACGAAGGGAGAGGTTTTGAAGGGACTGATCATGAACCCTTTAGAAATTTCTTTAAGAAGAAGATCTACGGTATCTGGTTCTTTAAGAGCAGATTGAAGATTGGGGGATATGTGGGTGAGAGAGGGGGGGTTAAAAACTCCTACATGAAATCCTTGAGAGAGACCAGAAAGAATGAAGTTAACAAAGGTACGGTCGGGATGATGAAGGAGACAGGACGATAACTCGGAAATGATAATAGGGGTGGAAAGGTGACGGGCTGCTAAGGTTTGAAGTTACGATTTTTTATGAGGCGAGCACGGTGGGGACAGACTGATTTTGGATGAGCCTCCTTGCAGAAACTGCAAATGTGGAGAAACATACACTTAGGAAAAGAACAGAAACTTTCATTGAAATTGTTACAGATGGGTTTGGAGTCAAATACCTGAATTCTTCTACCTCTGACGTCTGTGCGCGGACCGGAAGTAGAGGGAAGCAAAGGAGGGAGGGAAGGAGTGCTAGGCTTAAACGGAATAGATGGACAGAAGGCGCTGGGGTGACCGATAGAATCGCGGGAAGAACAGGGAGTGGACGAGTCAGCATGATTAGAATGTTTGTGTCCAAGACAGACCAATCTAAACGGACGCCGTGTTAAACCAGAGTAGAAGCTGCTTTGGAAGAGAAAGATTTATGATATAGGTAGAAAAGGTTGCCGCCAAATTTAAGGTGGAGGTCTGCTATTAGAGATAAATAGGTATAAAGCTCCACTCTGCGATCGGGGTAAACTGAGCATAGAACGTCACGATAGATACTAAATGCGGCAAGAAATTGGTCAATAGAAAGATCTCTGGACAGATGGGGATCAGATGATTTAAAGAAAGTTGTAACGTCACCTGCTGATGCGACCTGGTGATTGACTTCGGGGGAGGGGAGAATGAGGGAGACTAAATTAACATACTTCCCTTGAATAATTTTAGAACAGAGGCTAGAGGAAATATTAGCATGCAAGGGAATATACGGTATGCCTGAATAGGAAGGCACACAAAGCATAATGAGCGAACTAAAAAAAAATAAATAAATAAATAGAAAATTATGAATGAAAACATGAATGGATACGTCTTACCCAAGGATGGTCCGGGGCGGGCGTTTGCTAATGTGAATGAGGGGATGGGAGGGGGGATGTCCGTCTGAGCAGGCAGCTGCAGGGATGACGTGGCAGTGTGGGGATTTGCCAAGTTTTGGAGGCGTGCAGACAGCGTCGAGACTGATTGAGTGAGTGAGTCCAGAGTGGAGCGGAGGGAGGCTGAGAGCTGCTCAACGGCAGAAGAACCGTTGAACAGAGGGTCAGAGGCTTGCATCGACGCAGTGAGAAGAAGCGGGCATATCGGTGGCTGCTGCTGGGACAGATCTGGGACGGCCTCTGCTGCGCTTGGCGGGGGGAGCGGAGGACTTGCATGATCTTTTGCGGCCAGGAATCGGAGCAGACTGAAGAGCGGAAGGCGGGGGAGATGGAGATGAATCACGAGGAGGTGGAAGAGAGGCTAGTTGAGACAGCTGAGCAGAATCTAGGTTGGAGCCTGGCAGTATGCCTCTGGAGAGTAACACAGAAGGAGATGGGAGAGCGGCCAGACGGGAGCATGTCCGAGCAGGAAGAATAGGGGAAAGGTTGCATTCCTCTGGGTTGAGGAACAGGGACCCGGCAGGGTCATCTGAATCGAAATCCGACATAGCGATTGCAGGATAGCGGGCTGGGATGAGGATTTGAAGAGTTTATAAAGTGAAAGCAGGACGCTGATTGGGCTTCGTGGTGGAGTAGTTCGAAGCTGATTGGCTCGCTTCGGAGACGGATCAGCTTCTGATTGGATGGAGGTAAGCCAGAGTTTCTTCAATTGAACTTCCGCTAGAGCTTCATTTCAATCTGAAAAACTCACACAGAGAGAAAGATAATTAGAAGAGTTTTATTGATAAGACAGTATAGTCTTAGGCGCTCAGACCTCGGCAGGAACATTCATGCTGAATTATGCTTTAACATGCATGAGTAGATGAATGAGAATAGGGATGTTCCCCCAAAAGCTGAGGTCGAGGCCGGAGAGCTCGTAAGGCAGTTACTAGTAACAAAATGAAGAATGCGTAATGAAATGCTGAGAAGGTTTGCAAACAGCTTACAGAGCCAGGTTGAAGTTGACGATGGCAACCACAGTTGACGCCGAAAACTTACCATGATGATGATGGTGATGATGATGATGATTCTTGCGGATGAGTCTGATAATGAATCTTGCGGATGAGTCTGATAATGAATCTTGCGGATGAGTCTGATAATGAATCTTGCGGATGAGTCTGATAATGATCTTGTGGATGAGTCTGACAATGATCTTGCGGATGATTCTTGCGGATGATAACATATATGAACGAATGACATGACGAAATACAGACACAGACAGGGTGCATGTTGATGCATCAGGGAATGCATGGCAAAATGCGTAAAGGACGCATGACGAGACGCAGACCAGACACGACGAGACACACAGAGAAGGCATGTTGCTGCCTGACATAAAGGTGAGATTGCACGTATACGACCCAGAATAAAGACAGCATGAGTATAGCAAGG